GCAATACAGTAGAGCAATGCCATTGAATATATCACTATGCAACATAAAACAACTCTGAACTGCTCAATACTATAAGAACATGTGCAACTTAAAATAGCCTAATACTGTGCAATACAATAAAATAGAGTAATGATCAATAAGAAAGAACATTTAACTGTGCAGCACAATACAGCACAGTACTGCACAACAAAATAATGTGCATTACTCTATTACTTTGCACAGCAGAGTCCTGTGCAATGTGTCAGCTCAATACCAGACAAATAATATAAAACGCACAGTACTCAGCAGCACAATATAACGTAACAGACTGTTTAGTACAATGTGATACAGTATTGTATCATATATAACACACATCTCTACAATACAATAGTGTTGTGCCATGCAACAGCAGTACTGTGCAAAAAAATAGAAAATAGTACTGTGCAGCACGATGGAGAACAGTACTGTGCAGCACGATAGAGAACAGTACTGTGCATCACGATAGAGAACAGTACTGTGCATCACGATAGAGAACAGTACTGTGCGTCACGATAGAGAACAGTACTGTGCAGCACGACAGAGAACAGTACTGTGCATCACGATAGAGAACAGTACTGTGCATCACGGTAGAGAACAGTACTGTGCGTCATGATAGAGAACAGTACTGTGCATCACGATAGAGAACAATACTGTGCAGCACGATAGAGAACAGTACTGTGCATCACGACAGAGAACAGTACTGTGCAGCACGATAGAGAACAGTACTGTGCATCACGACAGAGAACAGTACTGTGCATCACGACAGAGAACAGTACTGTGCAGCACGATAGAGAACAGTACTGTGCGTCACGACAGAGAACAGTACTGTGCATCACGACAGAGAACAGTACTGTGCAGCACGATAGAGAACATTACTGTGCAGCACGATAGAGAACAGTACTGTGCATCACGACAGAGAACAGTACTGTGCAGCACGATAGAGAACAGTACTGTGCGTCACGACAGAGAACAGTACTGTGCATCACGACAGAGAACAGTACTGTGCAGCACGATAGAGAACATTACTGTGCAGCACGATAGAGAACAGTACTGTGCAGCACGATAGAGAACAGTACTGTGCAGCACGATAGAGAACAGTACTGTGCAGCACGATAGAGAACAGTACTGTGCATCATGATAGAGAACAGTACTGTGCATCACGACAGAGAACAGTACTGTGCATCACGACAGAGAACAGTACTGTGCATCACGACAGAGAACAGTACTGTGCAGCACGATAGAGAACAGTACTATGCGTCACGATAGAGAACAGTGCTGTGCATCACGATAGAGAACAGTACTGTGCATCATGATAGAGAACAGTACTGTGCATCACGACAGAGAACAGTACTGTGCATCATGATAGAGAACAGTACTGTGCAACACGACAGAGAACAGTACTGTGCAACACGATAGAGAACAGTACTGTGCATCACGACAGAGAACAGTACTGTGCATCATGATAGAGAACAGTACTGTGCAACACGATAGAGAACAGTACTGTGCATCACGACAGAGAACAGTACTGTGCAGCACGATAGGGAACAGTACTGTGCGTCACGATAGAGAACAGTACTGTGCATCACGATAGGGAACAGTGCTGTGCAGCACGATAGAGAACAGTACTGTGCATCACGATAGAGAACAGTACTGTGCAGCACGATAGAGAACAGTACTGTGCAGCACGATAGAGAACAGTACTGTGCAGCACGATAGAGAACAGTACTGTGCATCACGACAGAGAACAGTACTGTGCGTCACGACAGAGAACAGTACTGTGCAGCACGATAAGCTGGAATACAACACAGCAGCTGTAATACAGCTACACTCAGCTGTGTAGGCAAGAAGGACTACAACAATAAAATACAATACCAGGATAACATACAATCACCCCCACAATGACCTACAATCCCCCCCCCCCCTCACAACTAACCTGGTTCGCGGTTCTGTGTGCACCTCAAGCTGTACCATGCTTTAATACAGTACTGTGAAGTACTGTGATCAGTACTGCAGGCTCCCTCCCCCCTCTCTCTTCGCCCTGGAGAGGGGGGGGGGGGAACCTGCTGCATGGGTAACAGCTTCTCCTCCATATCGACCTACTCAGGCTTTGCGCCTTGGAGAGGGAGGGGGGTGGGACCTGCTGCATGGGTAACTGCTTCTCTCCCCGTATCAACCTACCCTGGCTTTGTGACCTTGGATGGGGGGTGGGACCTGCTGCATGGGTAACAGCTTCTCTCCCCGTATCAACCTACCCTGGCTTTGTGACCTTGGAAGGGGGGTGGGACCTGCTGCATGGGTAACAGCTTCTCTCCCCGTATCAACCTACCCTGGCTTTGTGACCTTGGAAGGGGGGTGGGACCTGCTGCATGGGTAACAGCTTCTCTTTCCTTATGAACCTACCCTGGCTTTGTGACCTTGGAAGTGGGGGGGGGGGGACCTGCTGCATGGGTAACAGCTTCTCTTTCCTTATGAACCTACCCTGGCTTTGCGACCTTGGAAGTGGGGGGGGGGGACCTGCTGCATGGGTAACAGCTTCTCTTTCCTTATGAACCTACCCAGGCTTTGTGCCCTGGGAAGTGGGGGAGGGGGGGACCTGCTGCATGGGTAACAGCTTCTCTTTCCTTATGAACCTACCCTGGCTTTGTGCCCTGGGAAGTGGGGGGGGGGGACCTGCTGCATGGGTAACAGCTTCTCTTCCTTATGAACCTACCCTGGCTTTGCGCCCTGAGAAGTGGGGGGGGGGGGGGACTTGCTGCATGGGTAACAGCTTCTCTTTCCTTATGAACCTACCCTGGCTTTGTGCCCTGGAAGTGGGGGGGGGGGGACCTGCTGCATGGGTAACAGCTTCTCTTTCCTTATGAACCTACCCTGGCTTTGTGACCTTGGAAGTGGGGGGGGGGGACCTGCTGCATGGGTAACAGCTTCTCTTTCCTTATGAACCTACCCAGGCTTTGTGCCCTGGGAAGTGGGGGGGGGACCTGCTGCATGGGTAACAGCTTCTCTTTCCTTATGAACCTACCCAGGCTTTGTGCCCTGGGAAGTGGGGGGGGTTGGACTTGCTGCATGGGTAACAGCTTCTCTTTCCTTATGAACCTACCCTGGCTTTGTGCCCTGGGAAGTGGGGGGGGGGACTTGCTGCATGGGTAACAGCTTCTCTTTCCTTATGAACCTACCCAGGCTTTGTGCCCTGGGAAGTGGGGGGGGGGGGGACTTGCTGCATGGGTAACAGCTTCTCTTTCCTTATGAACCTACCCTGGCTTTGTGCCCTAGGAAGTGGGGGGGGGGACCTGCTGCATGGGTAACAGCTTCTCTTTCCTTATGAACCTACCCTGGCTTTGCGCCCTGGGAAGTGGGGGGGGGGACCTGCTGCATGGGTAACAGCTTCTCTTTCCTTATGAACCTACCCTGGCTTTGCGCCCTGGGAAGTGGGGGGGGGGACCTGCTGCATGGGTAACAGCTTCTCTCCCCGTATCAACCTACCCTGGCTTTGTGCCCTGGGAAGTGGGGGGGGGGGACTTGCTGCATGGGTAACAGCTTCTCTTTCCTTATGAACCTACCCAGGCTTTGCGCCCTGGGAAGTGGGGGGGGGGGTGGGACCTGCTGCATGGGTAACAGCTTCTCTTTCCTTATGAACCTACCCTGGCTTTGCGCCCTGGGAAGTGGGGGGGGGGGGGTGGGACCTGCTGCATGGGTAACAGCTTCTCTCCCCGTATCAACCTACCCTGGCTTTGTGACCTTTTAAGGGGTGTGGGACCTGCTGCATGGGTAACAGCTTCTCTTTCCTTATGAACCTACCCAGGCTTTGTGCCCTGGGAAGTGGGGGGGGGGGACCTGCTGCATGGGTAACAGCTTCTCTTTCCTTATGAACCTACCCAGGCTTTGTGCCCTGGGAAGTGGGGGGGGGGGGGGGGGGACTTGCTGCATGGGTAACAGCTTCTCTTTCCTTATGAACCTACCCAGGCTTTGTGCCCTGGGAAGTGGGGGGGGGGGACTGCTGCATGGGTAACAGCTTCTCTTTCCTTATGAACCTACCCTGGCTTTGTGACCTTGGAAGTGGGGGGGGGGGGACCTGCTGCATGGGTAACAGCTTCTCTTTCCTTATGAACCTACCCTGGCTTTGTGACCTTGGAAGTGGGGGGGGGGACCTGCTGCATGGGTAACAGCTTCTCTTTCCTTATGAACCTACCCAGGCTTTGCGCCCTGGGAAGTGGGGGGGGGGGACCTGCTGCATGGGTAACAGCTTCTCTTTCCTTATGAACCTACCCTGGCTTTGTGCCCTGGGAAGTGGGGGGGGGGACCTGCTGCATGGGTAACAGCTTCTCTTTCCTTATGAACCTACCCTGGCTTTGTGCCCTGGGAAGTGGGGGGGGGGACCTGCTGCATGGGTAACAGCTTCTCTTTCCTTATGAACCTACCCTGGCTTTGTGACCTTGGAAGTGGGGGGGGGGGACCTGCTGCATGGGTAACAGCTTCTCTTTCCTTATGAACCTACCCTGGCTTTGTGACCTTGGAAGTGGGGGGGGGGGGACCTGCTGCATGGGTAACAGCTTCTCTTTCCTTATGAACCTACCCAGGCTTTGCGCCCTGGGAAGTGGGGGGGGGGACCTGCTGCATGGGTAACAGCTTCTCTTTCCTTATGAACCTACCCTGGCTTTGTGCCCTGGGAAGTGGGGGGGGACCTGCTGCATGGGTAACAGCTTCTCTTTCCTTATGAACCTACCCAGGCTTTGCGCCCTGGGAAGTGGGGGGGGGGACCTGCTGCATGGGTAACAGCTTCTCTTTCCTTATGAACCTACCCAGGCTTTGCGCCCTGGGAAGTGGGGGGGGGACCTGCTGCATGGGTAACAGCTTCTCTTTCCTTATGAACCTACCCAGGCTTTGCGCCCATTTTATAAAAATAAATATACAAATATATTTTCAGCATTTTATATTACATAATTACATGAGGTTAACTCTACTGTATTCTCTGGTCTCTCCCCCAGCCGGACTCTCCCAGGGCTACAGCGACGCATACAACAACTACATCAGCTACAACAGCAACTACAATAGCGAGGACTATTACTACGACTACGAGGAGGGAGAGAAGATGCAGCCGACCTTCCTGGCGCGCCCCCAGACCTTCACTGTGGAGGTCGGCCAGTCTGTCATCATCCCTTGCGACGTGGAGAATCAAGGCTAGTTGGGCTAGTTTAATAGTTGTTCACCTAGAGGTAGGCTAAACCGATTGGGCTGGACGGTAGAGCGACGGTCTCGCTTGATGCAGGTCGGTGTTCAATCCCCGATCAACCAAGTGGTCGGGCACCATTCCTTTCCCCACGTCCCATCCTAATCCTGATCACTTAATTGCGTAAGTATTTTATCGTTGAACTCGAATATGGTTGTTAAAAATAGTCGACCTTCGTGAAGACACCGCTGGTTATCTTGATGTTATCTTGATGTTATCTTGATGTAATCTTGAGGTTACCTTGAGGTTATCTTGAGGTAATCTTGAGGTTATCTTGAGGTTATCTTGAGGTTACCTTGAGGTTACCTTGAGGTTATCTTGGGGTTATCATGAGGTTATCTTGAGGTTATCTTGTGGTTATCTTGGGGTTATCATGAGGTTATCTTGAGGTTATCTTGAGGTTATCTTGAGATGATTTCGGGGCTTAGCGTCCCCGCGGCCCGGTCCTCGACCAAGCCTCCTTTTTGTTACACACCCCCAGGAAGCAGCCCGTAGCAGCTGTCTAACTCCCAGGTACCTATTTACTGCTAGGTGACCAGAGGCATCAGGGTGAAAGACACTGCCCATTTGTTTCCGCCTGGGATCGAACCCAGAACGTTATGACTACGATTCCCGATCACCGCCCACTCAGCCGTCAGGCCTGGTGCTTGGAGAGGAAGGCTCTGTGCCTTTGCAAGACCTTAATTACATAAGGTAATTGGAACTTCTTCTTAATCACTTAAGTCTGTGGTTCAGTGGCCTCTGTTTTGACCGCCATGGCTGTTAAATGGGCCACATTTACGGCCTTCCACACACCCGGGGCCTCGTAGCCTAGTGGATAGCGCGCAGGACTCGTAATTCTGTGGCGCGGGTTCGATTCCCACACGAGGCAGAAACAAATGGGCAAAGTTTCTTTCACCCTGAATGCCCCTGTTACCTAGCAGTAAAATAGGTACCTGGGTGTTAGTCAGCTGTCACGGGCTGCTTCCTGGGGGTGGAGGCCTGGTCGAGGACCGGGCCGCGGGGACACTAAAGCCCCGAAATCATCTCAAGATAACCCGTAGTAAGGAGGTGGGGAGGTTTGTGAAGGAGGGAGGGGGGTAGGGAGGGGTTGGGAAGGGGAGTAAAGGGGTTGGGGAGGGGATTGGGGGGAGGGGCGGGGGGTGGGGGTTGAGGATGGAACGTTCCTCTTTCATCAACTGTAGTTTCTCTTCCATTCTTTCAGGCGTTCGTCTCTTAGCCTGGGGCCAGATTCACGAAAGGACTTACGAACGTGTACATCTTTCCTCAATCTTTGACGGCTTTGGTTACATTTATTAAACAGTTTACAAGCATGATAACGTACCATTTAACTGTTGTTATTGTTATAAACAGCCTCCTGGTGCTTCCGAGCTCATTAACTGTTTAATAATTGTAAACAAAGCCGCCAAAGATTGAGAAAAGATGTACAGGTTCGTAAGTGCTTTCGTGAATCTGGCCCCTGATCGTCCGGGTCTTCACCCTCGCTTTCAGATACTTGCTGGATATACTTTAAAATTTCTAACTGTTCCTTTTCCCTCTCTAGAATGGTTACCTGTTCATTCAAAGTCATTTCCGTTTGATTTGATTCTGGCTGGTCTTTTGAACTGGGTCAAATGCCAATTTGATATTGCTAGTCTGTTTCTCTTGTTACTCTAAGACACTCAGTTGCTCTGGTTCTCTAATCTTGCCGGTGTTTAAATGTTTTCAGAGATCTCTTCTGCCTGATCTTGGCATCTTAGCAACCAATATCGACTATTTGATAGTTTGATCATTTTCTTGGCTGTGGTCAAGTACGCCCCCTGCTCGTGCTAGCATTATTCTACTTCTTAATCCATTGTTCTCATGCCTAGTCGTGTTTAATGGTTAGGTTAGGTTACGTTAGGTTAGATTTGGTTAGGTTTTAGGTTAGGTTAGGTTACGTTAGATAAAGTTAGGTTAGGTTAGGTTTTAGGTTAGTTTAGGTTAGGTTAGGTTAGGTGTTAGGTTAGTTTAGGTTAGGGTAGGTTAGGTTAGGTTAGGTGTTAGGTTAGTTTAGGTTAGGGTAGGTTAGGTCACGTTTAGTTAAGTCAGGTTAGGTTAGGTTAGGTAAGGTCAGGTTAGGCTTGGTTAGTTTAGGTTAGGTCAGGTTTAGTTAAGTCAGGTTAGGTTAGGTAAGGTCAGATTAGGCTTGGTTAGTTTAGGTTAGGTTAGGTTAGGCCATGTTAGGTTTGGTTAGTTTAGGTTAGGTTAGGTCAGGTTAAGTTAGGTCAGGTTAGGTTAGATTAGTTTAGGTTAGGTTAGGTTAGGTTAAGTTAGGTTAGGATAAGTTAGGTTAGGATAAGTTAGTATCCATTTTGAGCTGCATTAAAATTTTCCATTTAAATATTTATTTTTGTTGCATATTTTTTCGAATGTTAATTTTTGGACTGAAGTGTTTAGTTGTAAAATGGTAATCCCTTCACTATACCTACTGTTCTTGTGTAACCCTTCACTATACCTACTGTTCTTGTGTAACCCTTCACTATACCTACTGTTCTTGTGTAACCCTTCACTATACCTACTGTTCTTGTGTAACCCTTCACTATACCTACTGTTCTTGTGTAACCCTTCACTATACCTACTGTTCTTGTGTAACCCGTCACTATACCTACTGTTCTTGTGTAACCCGTCACTATACCTACTGTTCTTGTGTAACCCCTCACTATACCTACTGTTCTTGTGTAACCCGTCACTATACCTACTGTTCTTGTGTAACCCTTCACTATACCTACTGTTCTTGTGTAACCCTTCACTATACCTACTGTTCTTGTGTAACCCATCACTATACCTAGTGTTCTTGTGTAACACTTCACTATACCTACTGTTCTTGTGTAACCCTTCACTATACCTACTGTTCTTGTGTAACCCGTCACTATACCTACTGTTCTTGTGTAACCCATCACTATACCTAGTGTTCTTGTGTAACACTTCACTATACCTACTGTTCTTGTGTAACCCGTCACTATACCTACTGTTCTTGTGTAACCCTTCACTATACCTACTGTTCTTGTGTAACCCGTCACTATACCTACTGTTCTTGTGTAACCCGTCACTATACCTACTGTTCTTGTGTAACCCCTCACTATACCTACTGTTCTTGTGTAACCCGTCACTATACCTACTGTTCTTGTGTAACCCTTCACTATACCTACTGTTCTTGTGTAACCCTTCACTATACCTACTGTTCTTGTGTAACCCATCACTATACCTAGTGTTCTTGTGTAACACTTCACTATACCTACTGTTCTTGTGTAACCCTTCACTATACCTACTGTTCTTGTGTAACCCATCACTATACCTAGTGTTCTTGTGTAACACTTCACTATACCTACTGTTCTTGTGTAACCCGTCACTATACCTACTGTTCTTGTGTAACCCTTCACTATACCTACTGTTCTTGTGTAACCCGTCACTATACCTACTGTTCTTGTGTAACCCGTCACTATACCTACTGTTCTTGTGTAACACTTCACTATACCTACTGTTCTTGTGTAACCCGTCACTATACCTACTGTTCTTGTGTAACACTTCACTATACCTACTGTTCTTGTGTAACCCCTCACTATACCTACTGTTCTTGTGTAACACTTCACTATACCTACTGTTCTTGTGTAACCCGTCACTATACCTACTGTTCTTGTGTAACCCTTCACTATACCTACTGTTCTTGTGTAACCCGTCACTATACCTACTGTTCTTGTGTAACACTTCACTATACCTACTGTTCTTGTGTAACCCCTCACTATACCTACTGTTCTTGTGTAACCCTTCACTATACCTACTGTTCTTGTGTAACCCTTCACTATACCTACTGTTCTTGTGTAACCCGTCACTATACCTACTGTTCTTGTGTAACCCTTCACTATACCTACTGTTCTTGTGTAACCCCTCACTATACCTACTGTTCTTGTGTAACCCTTCACTATACCTACTGTTCTTGTGTAACCCTTCACTATACCTACTGTTCTTGTGTAACCCTTCACTATACCTACTGTTCTTGTGTAACCCGTCACTATACCTACTGTTCTTGTGTAACCCGTCACTATACCTACTGTTCTTCTGTAACCCCTCACTATACTTACTGTTCTTGTGTAACCCTTCACTATACTTACTGTTCTTGTGTAACCCTTCACTATACCTACTGTTCTTGTGTAACCCGTCACTATACCTACTGTTCTTGAGTAACCCTTCACTATACCTACTGTTCTTGTGTAACCCGTCACTATACCTACTGTTCTTGTGTAACCCGTCACTATACCTACTGTTCTTGTGTAACCCGTCACTATACCTACTGTTCTTCTGTAACCCCTCACTATACTTACTGTTCTTGTGTAACCCTTCACTATACTTACTGTTCTTGTGTAACCCTTCACTATACCTACTGTTCTTGTGTAACCCGTCACTATACCTACTGTTCTTGTGTAACCCGTCACTATACCTACTGTTCTTGTGTAACCCTTCACTATACTTACTGTTCTTGTGTAACCCTTCACTATACTTACTGTTCTTGTGTAACCCTTCACTATACCTACTGTTCTTGTGTAACCCGTCACTATACCTACTGTTCTTGTGTAACCCGTCACTATACCTACTGTTCTTGTGTAACCCCTTCACTATACCTACTGTTCTTGTGTAACCCGTCACTATACCTACTGTTCTTGTGTAACCCCTTCACTATACCTACTGTTCTTGTGTAACCCTTCACTATACCTACTGTTCTTGTGTAACCCTTCACTATACCTACTGTTCTTGTGTAACCCGTCACTATACCTACTGTTCTTGTGTAACCCCTCACTATACCTACTGTTCTTGTGTAACCCTTCACTATACCTACTGTTCTTGTGTAACCCTTCACTATACCTACTGTTCTTGTGTAACCCGTCACTATACCTACTGTTCTTGTGTAACCCGTCACTATACCTACTGTTCTTG